CCCTCTAAGCTAAAAGTCTCCGTCTGTTTATTTTTGAACCTACCCACATTCAAAGTTGTGATTCCTTCCTACAAACCCAAAGTTCTACGTCATTTGTCTTCAAAGTCCCCCACTTCTAAACTTTTAGTACGATTTTTCATCTATAAATCCTAAGTTTTACCCTCATTTATTTGTAAACCCACCCACTTTAACAAACGTCTTAGATCCGAAATACAACGTGGTATTATCTTTTCCTTTTTCACATCAATATCAAGGCATTGCTAATAGTAGTGAGGTTTTAGCCTATAAACCAAAATCTTAGGACGATTTATTCTAAACCCACTCACTTTACCAAAGGTATTTCCTTCTATAAACAAAACAAAAAAAATACTCTCATCGAATTAATTTGAACTAATTTGCATTTATCAGTTTGATATACATGGTGAGCTGCTATATTCTAATGCTGCTTTTATTATATTTTAATGTTGTTTGCTATATAAATGTCTTAAATAATTTCAAATCCATTATCTATTTCAACAATTTCGTATATAGTGTAAGTTGCTATATTTTATTGCAACTTGCTATATTGTTTGGTCTGAGTGGTCAATTTCAGTTTTGAACCAAAATGTTTTTTTTTTCACATTTCCACACTAATACCATAGCAACGCGCGGGAATTTTGCTCGTTACTCCTACTTTATTCAAGGTAAAATTCTCTCTCTACCAAGGCATAGAGTTTCCTCTTAGATATTGTAGAACCTTTGTTTTCTATAAAGGAACAGCCCATATGTGGGTAAGAGGTTGTTTTTGGTTGTTATTACGGTATGAATTATTATCAGAATGAGAGAATCAAATGGAAATTACATCTTTCATAGCCCAAATGAGTAGGCAGTTGAAGACAAATATGCAATGCCCGTAGTAATTTAGATGGATTGGTACAAATATGTTGGAAAGCTATGGTGACCGCAAACTTAAAAACTAGAGTATTTGCCAAATGAAAATGTAATTCTTGGAAAGTTAGAAACAGCTATGGCTCATGAATGGACATGTAGATACATATTACATACCCATGCTTTCTAGTGTTGTTATCCGGTTGATGCAATCCTGCAAAAGCATCAAGTATTGAGAATCACAATTAATAACAAGCAGCATATATTAGTAAAACAGGATATTATGATTATAAAGAAAAGCAAAATGGATGAAAATTTTGACATACAAGGACTCCAGGCTTTTAAAACAACTAGAAAGGTACATGAATGATTTTTGTCCCTTTCAACCCAATGGATTTTAAGTATGCATACATCAAATTTCACAATTTTCATGGTTTACAATCTATGATTTTATCTATGATTTTTTTTAACCTTTATTTTCTTCCAAACTAAAGGCGATGAAGTATATATCCTTCAAACTTCATAATTTTCATGGGTTATAACCCATGATCCCCCCCCCCCCCCCATTCTAACAAATAACAATTAATTATGAGTAAATCAAATTTCGCGATTTTTATGGCCTATAACTCATGATTATAATCAATTTCCATTTGTTTTTACAAAATGTTTATAAGTATGCATACATCAAATTTCACGATTTTCATATTCTATAACCTATAACCCATAAATTCTTCCCATTTTTTTCTTTCGAACAAATGACAATGAAGTATGCATACTTCAAATTTTACAATTTTTACCGTAGTTTATAACCCATGGTTTTTTTTCAATTCTCGTTCATTTCTACCAAATGGCAATTAATTATGAGTACCTCAAATTTCGCGATTTTTATGGGCTATAACAATGATTTTATCCATTTTTGTTCATCGGAACCAAATGGATATTCGGTATGTTTACTTCAAAATTCACAATTTTCAATATTTACAATCCATGATTTTTTTCCATTTCCGTTCTTTTCAACACTATAGCAATTAAGTATGCGTATTTTAAATTCTACAATGTTATGCGTTTATAACCCACAATTTTTGTCCATTTTTATTCATTTCTACCCAATGACAATTAATTATAATTACATCGAAACTCACAATTTTTAAGAGCTATAACCGGTGACTTTTGTCCATTTTACATCGTTTCAATCTAATGACAATAAAGATACTTCAATATTTCACAATATCCATAAGCTATAGTCCACGATTTTTGCTCATTTTTGTTCGTTTGATCCAATGATAATTATGTATGCGTACTTAAAAATTAATGATTTTCATGGACTATAAGCTATGATTTTTATCTATTTTCTTTTGCTTCAATTAAATGAAAATTAAGTAGCGTACTTCAAAATTTACGATTTTCATGGTCTATATCCACTATTTCCTAATTTTCAACGTTTATAATTTGTGAATACTTTCAGTTTTGTTCTTTTCAACCCAATGACAAATAAATATATCTACTTCAAAATCCATGATTTTCATAGGCTATAACCAACGAATTGTTTACCAGTTTTGTTCGTTTCTACCCAATAGCAATTAACTATGAGTACGTCAAAATTCATGGTTTTCATTGGCTTATAACCCACGTTTTTTCACATTTTTGTTCGTTTCGATCTCATGACAACTGAGTATGCATAATTAACTATTTAACAATTTTTTATGAACTACAATCTATGATTTTTGTCCACTTTTGTTCCTTTCAACCCAAAACCAGTTAACTATACATACTTAAAAATTCACATTTTTTATGGCCTATAACACAAATTTTGTTCATTTTTGTTTGTTTCTACCCAATAGAAATTGAGTATGCGTATTTTAAAAATGCAAATTCATGGGCTTTAACCCAAAATTTTGTCCATTTTAATTCGTTTCAACCAAATGAATGTTTAGTATATGTAATTCAAAATTCGCAATTCAATATTTATAATCAACGTTTTGTTTAATTTTTGTTCTTTCTAACCCTATGACGATAAGTATGCTTACTTCAAAATTAATAAAATTAATGGGATATAATCCACGATTTTTGTCCATTTTGTATGTTTCTACTCAATGGCAATTAATATAAAACCTCAAAATTCACGATATTCATGGGCTATGATCCATGATTTCAGTCGATTTTTGTTCGTTTCGATCACGACAATGAAATCCTCCAATATTTCACGATTTTCATAAACTGCAACCCACGATTTTTGTCCAATTTGTTCGTTTTAATCCAATATTAGTTATGTATGCATACTAAAAATTCACAATTTTCATGCACTATAACCATGATTTTTTCCCAGTTTCGTTCTTTTTTATTGAATAGAAAATTGAGTATGGCTACATCAAAATTAACAATTTTCATGGTCTATAATCCATGATTTATCCCATTTTTGTTTGGTTTGACCTCTGGTGGGTCTAGGCGGTTTTTGTATTTTTTATTTTTAATTACAATAATTGATAGTAAATGCTAATGTTATAGAAAGCTTAGGTGACGGACCGTCGCCTAGAGGGATTTCTTTCTTCGTTTAAGTGGTGGTGGTGGATGTTTTGCTAAAGGTCGGAAGAGGTAAAAGAGGTTCATAGTTGAAGCCTAGAGGAGTTTAGAGGAGGTAAGAGGATGTGGAGGCTGCAATGAAGGAAATCACGATCAAGGCCTAAGGGTTGCAATCCACATAAGTAGTCCACAGTTCCCTAGGTGCTCCCGAAATCTAAGTGGGCGGCCTAGGTACCGCCTAGGCACTAGGCAAGCGGCCTAGGTACCGTCTAGGCTTAGGTGTACGCCTAGGCGGGGTAGCAAAAAATTTTTTAAACCCTTGCTCATGATATATGCATACTTTAGAAGTTGTGATAACCCACGATCTTTGTTAATTTTAGTTCGTTTTTACCAAATGGCAATTAATAATTAGTACTTCAAACTTCCCGAGTTTCATAGGTTATAGCTCATGATTTTGTCTAATTTTGTTTGTTTCTACCCATGTCCATTTTTCTTCTTATCGATCTCATAACAATTTAGTATGCGAACTTAAAAACTTTCACGATTTTCGGAAGCTATAACTTATATTTTTTGTTTATTTCTTACAAATGTCAATTAATTATGAGTACCTAACAGCTCAAGAATTTCATGGGCTATATATAACAACTCAAGAATTTCATGGGTTATATAACACATGATTTTTATCCATTTTGAATCGTTTTGATCTCATTAAAATGAAGTGTAATTTTTCGATTTGCATGGACTATAACCCACAATTTTTGTCCATTTTTATTTGTTTCTGCCCAACGAAAATTAATTATGAGCACCTCACACTCAAGATGTTCATGAATTATAATTGGGTCTATTGTGAAGGCAAACCCGACCCAGTTCGGACTAATTATCGATTTCAAACCCGTTTGGGTTTATAATTCAAATTACAGACCTATTTGACCCGGTTAGGATCCAATATTAGATTTCAGACCCGTTTGGGTTTATAATTCAAATTACAGACCTATTTGACCCGGTTAGGATCCAATATCAGATTTCAGACCCGTTTAGACCTTTTTGCTCACTAAAATTAGTTTTGCAGATTTCTATGCTGTCAAATTAAAACCGTTTGGCCCGCTTTGACACTAAACAATTACGCTAATTATTTATTGTTTGATCTCTTGATGCTTATTGGATCACCTGATGCTACGTTTGATCACCTAGTGATATTTAATAGAGTTGATTGTGCATGAAGACGACTTTCGTCAATAAAAATGATTCATAAATGTGTTATCATTGAATGGCTATACCCTCGACATCGATATCCGATGTGAGGAGTTTCTCTTGATTATTACTATTATTATAATAGCATTGACTAGACGATGCACCCATCTTGATTGGACATGTTTTAGGTCAAGGTTATTTTTCATAAATTTTACGAAAACGGGTCCACGATAACTCTGTGGTTAGTGAACAATATTTCATGCACAACCACTTAAAATAAATGAATAAATGTGAGGTTTATAAAGGGGAATTGGACGAAAAATATAGCGTGTATAAACGGGCTCATGCGCATTCTTGATATCCAGATTTATATATATATAAGAGCTAAGGGCCAATCCTGAATTGAAACCATGTTCCCGGGATAGTTTACGGGAACCCAACTTATATACATAAAATATTCTTCTCTAATTCAAATAACATCTAAAATAATAATAATGTGCTTGTGTGTCTTGTGGTAGACCTTCTTTAATATCTACAATTAGCATTTTCTTTTATCACCTTTGATTGAGTTTTTATCTTTTCTTTATACCTGCTACATACACTGTCCTATGACAATTATGAATACCTTAACACTCGAGATTTTCATCGGCTATAACCTGCATTTTTTATTCATTTTTTATCGTTTCTACCCTACGACAATTAATCATGAATACCTCAAAATTCAAGATTTTCATGATTTAGAACATATGGTTTCTGTTCATTTCCATTCATTCGGTCTTACGAAAATAAAATATGCATATACTTAAAAATTTTGCAAGTTTCATGAGCAATAACCACAATTTTTATCAAGTTTCGATTGTTTCTCGTCAATGACAATTAGTTGAGTACCTCAAAACTCAAGATTTCCATAGGCTATAACCCACGATTTTTGTCCATTTTAATTCATTTTGATCTCGATAGAATGAAGTGTATACATACAAATTTTGTGATTTTCATGGTTTATAAACCACAATTTAGCTTTTTCGTTCATTTCTATCCTATGTCAATTAATTATGGATTATGACCCACAATTTTTGTACTATTTCGATTTATTTTACCCGAAGCCAAATTATGATGAGTATCATAAAACTTGCAATTTTTATGGGCCAGAATTCATTATTTCTGTTCATTCTTTTTCAATCTCATTACAACTAAATATGCATACTTAAAAATTGTGATTTTCATGAGGTATAACTCATAATTTATGTCTATTTTCTTTAGTTTCTTCCTAATGGCGATTAATTATAAGAACTCCAAACTCAAGATTTTCATCAGCTATAGCTTAAGAGTTTTGTCCATTTTCGTTTATTTCTACCCAATGACAATCAATCATGAGTACCTCAAAACTCAAGATTTTCATGGGTTATACACCAAAAAATTTTGTTCAATTTCGTTCATTTGGGTGTCATGAAAATGAAGTATGTATACTTCAAATTTTCATAATTTTCACTAACTATAACATAATTTTTTTTTCTATTTTCCTTTATTTCTAGGCAATGACAATTAATTACGAGTACTTTAACAGTCAAGATTTTCATGGGCTATAACTTAATATTTTTCCCTATTTTTGTGCATTTCGATCTCATTTATAAGAAGTGTGTATACTTACAACTTTTGCAAATTCTATGGTACATACTCAACGATTTTTGTCCAATTTTGTTCCTTTCTATCCAATGGTAATTAATTAGTACCTCAAAACTCTTCATTTTTATGAATATAATTCATGATCTCAGTCCATCTTTGTTCGTTTAGATCTTATTATAATTAAGTATACATACTTATAAAATTTCGCGATTTTTGTGAGCTATAACCCCTTGCTTTTCATCTTTTTTTTTCTAACCAATGGTAAGTAATTATGAGTATCTCAAAACTCAAGATATTCATGGGCTATAACATACATTTTTTTGTTTCAATTTTCGTCCGTTTTCATTTGTTTCTAACCAACGGTAATTAATTATGAGCATCTCAAAACTCATAGATATTCATGGACTATAACGTACGTTTTTTTGTTTATTTTTGTTCACTTTTACTATATGTTAATTACTTATGAGAACCTCAAAACTCAAGATTTTCATGAGCTATAACCCACGATTTTTGTCTATTTTCATTTGTTTCCAACCAACTACGCTTAATTATGAGTTACATCAAAACTCAATATTTTCATCCACTAGAACCAACGGTAACCCAAAAAATTTGTTAATTTTCATTTGCATCAACTTAATGACCATCAAGAATGAGCTTTTTTTAATTCATTTTCATTACTTTGAATCCAATGGCAATTAATTATGTATACCGTAAAATTTATAATTTTCATGGGATATATATATATATATATATATATATATATATGAAAAATATGGGTATGCTTGGTACCAAGCACAAATTTTGTGCTTGGTAGTGATGTGTCATCATTCCCATCCACTCATTCCAATTTCCAACGACTCCCCCAACCCTATGTGAATGTAGGGCTCCAATTTTAATGAGTGAAGGGGAATATGTCACCTCACTACCAAGCACAAAACTGTGTGCTTGGTACCAAGCATACCCATCTCTCTCTCTCTCTCTCTCTCTCTCTCTCTCTAATATATATATATATATATATATATATATATATATATATAATATATATAATATGAGCAAAACTTCTGTCAACTTAAGTGGACGTCCACTAAGTTTCTTATCCATTGATGATTACTTGATTGAGCTACATTGTGGATGATCTGTTCCGTTCAAACTTGATCTACATATTCTAAAACCCCAAACACCAAATTTGGTGTGAACTCGTTTGTGGTGTTGACGCCTCCGTCGAGGCCATGTAAAAAGTTCTATTCACTCGAAACCGTTAAAATTGATACGAGTGGATGAAGGGTCAAACTACGACGGGTTCACCCCAAATTTGGTGTGTTGGGGTTTTAGAATATGTAGATCAAGTTGAAACGGAACGGAATCATCCACAATGTAGCTCAATCAGTGATCATCAATGGATAAGAAACTTAGTGGACGTCCACTTTAAGTTGACAGAAGTTTTGCTCTATATATATATATATTATATATATATATATATATATATATAATATATATATATATATATATATATACAGTATACATTATAGTATATATATATATATATATATATATATACTATATATATATAGCCCATGGTTTTTGTCCATCCTTTGCTTGTTGGTTTTCCAAATGATAATTAAGTATTCAGGTAATGGAGTATACCTGAGTTCGCAACTTGAATTCTGCAGCAAGGTCTTCCAGTGGAACACACTTTTGTTTCTGCAATAATTAGCATCAGCATTTAGAAAGAGAGCCGTGTTTATGTAAAAGCATTAGCACGTAGCTCTTTTGCCCTACCCTTATATTATCTTCATTTAAAAGCATTAGCACCTAGGATATAATGGCTGGTCATTTGAAAATGAAAGTAAACATTCAACAGTGTAGAAGAAACAAATAATTGATGTTGCTCACTACTCCATAAGAAGTTTGTGAAACCATTAAAAAATATTTACCCAAATGAAAGTTTATGACAGGCATAAGGCTTGTAAACATCAGCTGTAATAGGTGAAGTTGCAGATTCTTGGTATCCTCCTAAACTGTCACCAAGAAGAATAAGTAATGTTTTGACTGTAGTATTTACTATATTCTGCACCATCCATAATTAAGGTGGCATACACAACAATAGTTAAAGTTATAGGCATCTTTTTGAGCTGTGAGATAGTTAGGCTCTGATTAAACTGTCAGACTAAAACAATCAACTTAATTTTTTTAATAAAAATGGTGACAACCGAGAATGTCTTGGAAAAAATCATGGATTCAGAATCCATCTCAAACAACATTCATCTTTATGTGTCCTTGCTTCAATGAGGAAAAATGCAAGTGTTAATTTTGAAGTAAAGAGGAGTACTAGGATAGTCTGCTATAAATAATAATAAGGGTCTATTTTCATCAACCTATGGTAAAAGTAAAACTGGTCGCCAATGCAACCTATTCAACAAAGAGAATAAGGAACCAAAACTCATCAGATATATGTCTAAACCTATAGAAAATTATGCTATTTTCTAGACTTGCCCAATCTATTCTCCCGGACATGGTGTTATAGGTGAAACAAGTAGGTTTGTAACATTAACTAGAGAAAAGAAGGAAAACTTACACAATTCAATAATGTTGCAATTCAGATGTACGAATTTATTTCTGCTGTTGATGCTGTTGTTATCTATGTGTTTGCTTCTTTTTATCTTCCTCTTCTTCCCTCATATATTTTATTTCCCCTGTTGTTCTTTCTTTCTTTCTTTCTTTCTTCTTCTCTATTCTGCTCATTTTCCTTTGACCCTTCCCTTTCTTTTTATTTCTCAAATTTTTCAATGACTTAGTTTTTATCTTGCTTCATAAGAATTTCAAGTAGTGCCAGCATTATTCCCACAAGGCTCCTGGCGAAAAACATGTCCAAAACATAAGAAAGATCTAATATAGAACCTTAAAACGCATTCTTCATTAAGAAGCATACTTATTTTCTCTCTAATTTTTGGTATTTCACAATAACATCAGCAGAATGACGATGCTAATTACAACTAAAGACAAAATAAGAAAAAGAAAAGAAAAGATACAGTGTAACTCTCTCTCTCAAATCTACCATCCCCACACTCAACTCAGGAAAATAGAGGTGAACAAATACCATTAAAAATAACATAAAAGCAATTATCCACCTATCATCCAAAAAGAGGGTAGGTAACAAAGTAGCTTTCTCTCTGTCCTGGTTGTTTTATTATTACATTAACATGCACATCTCTCTACTGGATTTCCAAAATTTTCTGCACAAAGTAAAAGCGCTCGAAGAAAGTACAAGAAAAGGAGAAAGGGAACTGAGAGGGAGAAATTTTCAACAATATGTTCTTTCTAATGTCTTTCAAAAAAAAGTTGTTAAAAGTCTACGTAAACATTACCACTAGAAGCCATAAGGAGGATTGCATTCTATCCAAACGTGACAAAAAAATGTCTTTAAATTTGTTACAAACATGCAATATCTGTATTCTTAGACTAACAACGATTAAACTTAATAATATGCTGGGAGAATGAAAATATCCTGGGAGAATGAAAATATTAAACCATAACGAGAGCTAAATAATATGCTGAAACAAAATGAAAAAAGTTTACCTTAATGTATTCCACAAAACTAAAGAGTAATCCTTGACCCTCATCTTGCATGTCACTTTCAGTTGTACCTTCCGCGTCGATTGAAAATTCACCTTTCCACTTCTCAAACTCCAAAGCAGCAGCTTCCTCCTCCTTGGCCTTCCGTGCCAAAGCCTCTTCTTCCTACAGAAAATTAAAAGCTTTTTAGTAACAGAAATCAGACTAGTGTAATTTCCGTCTGTGTAAGCTATACAGCCACCAACCATTAATCGCTCTTGTGCTTCACGTTCCTCATCCTTCTTCCTCCTCATATCTGCATAGCGATCTTGCTTTGTCTTCCTTGATTCCCGTGCAGCTTCCTCAGCCTACATTTTAGTTTTGTTGTCATATGACACTAATATTGACTAAAATATTGGAAGAAGTGCAGAAAAGAAAACACCTTACCTGTCTTTGTGCTTCGCGTTCCTGTTTTTTCCTTTCCTTTTTACTAGAAGCTTTAGCAACATAATAATCATCCTCAGGAACCTCTTCATCACTCTCCAGCTCTGCTTTCACATCAAAATATAACAGAATGTTACTGGAGCTTGACATTCGACTAGAAAAGAAAGTCAGTGGCAGAGATGTGTATTAAATGTCTCCCTCATCAGATGTATTTCCAAGATATGATGCAAGTCCAAAATGTAGTCATACTATGCACAATGTAAAAATATCTTTAGTTTGTTATCAATCAAATAGTACAGGTATTGGTAGGTTTATCGCTCACATAAATGCAATATTGACAAACATATTTGACAAATTTATTAAGTAAACTAACAGTTGTGAGCACTTGCCACTGCACTACTCTATCAATTACCTACCATTGCTTGATAAAACTAAAGGGATAGTAAGAACTAAGGAATTAAATGATTTTGAAAAACGTCCCTCATATACTGTAAACAAAAGTATAAATGGTTATGCATGTGAAAATCACACCGAACTCAGTTTACTGAGGTTTCGTAGAAATAGAACATGCAAGATCCTGCATAGTGCTAAAAAATAGTCAGCTTGCGTGCAAGCATAAACTGATTGAAAACCTTGTGTGCTAGTTGACGCAGTTGATGTACTTGCTGCAGCAGGTCTCCTACGCATACGACGGCCTCCAGTAGGATGGACTACTCTCTCAGCCTGCAAACGAGAATCTTGTATCAAAAAGCCAAAAGAATTACAAAAAATATGTATTAACAAAACTGGTTTCCTTCTAAGCATCAAAATTCAAGCAAACCCCATGGTTTTACAGTGTCTTGTGCGGTATCTACTGAAACTAGCATTTCGAGTTTCCTCACTACACCCATCTTCATTTAAAAAAAAAACATAATATTGAGTCATTTGCTTATGTTCAATGTCGCTAGTCTATAAAGGAATTGTTCTCAACACGATATCAAAGCATCACGTTTCAAGGCAACTGGATTCAAGCCTCATCATTGACAAAATTAAAAATACCATTTAGTTTCCTCCATTAATTCTGCCTTTCCAAGTGAATCTTCGACAGAGTTATTTCGCATAATGCGGGTGGTAACAACCATGGAAATCTCAATATTTGCACGAAGCCTCAAATTTTTATTAAGTTCTCAAAACACGATTTTGGTTAACAGCCCGTACATCACCATCTTCCATATCGTCAGGAAAACTGTAATTTAAGAATCTTCGGCAGAATTATTTCAGCCATTGAAAAAGACAAAAGACAAAAGGTTGCACTCCCGATTCAATCTGCTCAAACTATGAGTTACTTGATCCACTAAAAGGGCAAAAGGTTCAATAAAAAACGCTCCTTTTCATCGGTAACTGATGAAAGGAACCCTAATTAATCCGAAAAAAGGGGGAAATTTCGGGGGTCGAGTTACCTGCTGGGTTTGGGGCTCATCTTGATGCTCGTGCTCAGATTGAGAGCTCCGTCGACGCTTCCACAAGAGAAGAGGAACGAGAGCGAGAACGAGGAGCATGCACAAAACCCCAGCCAATATTTCCTCCATTTTGTTTTTCCCCTCGAAATTCCCAAATCTCAGCGATTCTTTGCAGGAGGGAGGGGAGAGGGAGAGAGAGCGACGAACGGTTTTGCTAATGCGGGTCACACCCGTACCCGAAACCGGAAATGAGTAAGGGGTAATTGCATATTATCCCCTTAATTCATTTTTAATTGCAAAACCGCCCCCAAATTTCAGTGTTTGCCAAAACCTCCCCAATTTATCTATTTCATTGCCAAAACATCTCTGGTTAACAATGAGGGTGATGTTCAGTCAAATGTAACGGAAATGAATGCCTCATTAAACACTAACATTTAAAGTTCCACTTCGTGGTTTAGGACAAATTTTGAAAACAGACTCATTTACAAAAATAATTACAAATTTCGATCTATTTGCAACTTATTTGTCAAAATTGACCCAGTTACAGCCAGATGGCTGAATTTGGGTCGGTTTTGACAAAAAAATCGATGAAACTTTATGGAACTTGAACTCCTGTGAAGTTTAGCAGACGGCTAATTAAGCTGTGTAACTTTATGGGACTTCAAGTCCCGTGAAGTTTCAAACTTTTTTTTGTCAAAGCTGACCTAGTTTTAGCTAGATGACTGAAACTGAGTCAGTTTTGACAAATAAGTTAAAAAGATGTCGAAATTTGCAATTATTTTTGTAAATGGGTTGGTTTTTTAAATTTGTCCTCCTGGTTTATAGTGTTTATACTCGCAACCCAATAAACCCTTCTTCAACGGTAAAATGCCAAAGCCAAACCATAGATGTTCCAGCTATGAATTTCCCCTCCTAAAGCTTATATAATCCTCTCAATTCTTCATTATACTCTATTCCCAAGGGCATTGGAGTGATTTCACATGTTGGGTTAACTCTTTGACCCAATTGCAATTGCAAATTTTAACAAAAAATCTAACAGAAAGATGTTTTTGCAATGAAATTGATGATTTAGACAAGGGTTTGGCAAATACTGAGATTTTGGGGAGGTGTTGGCAATTAAAGATGATATGAGGGGATGATATGCAATTACCTCAATGAGAAAATGTAGGGATTTTTACATATTCATCCTATCCTTTACCATATTTCAGAAACTATCCTACGTATCTTATGCAGACCCATTAATTACTCTACAAATGTTCAGTGAATATAATTATTTTAATTATTATTACATGGAAAAAAAACAAAAAAGCAGTATTATCAAGCAAATAAGTTGACGTATAGGTAGATATAAGATCATGGAATCCAATTAGAGTGAAAATAATTTTCAGAGTTTCCACAATAAATATGCTTAAATTATTAAGCAATAATGGTGGGGTGATAATTGGATAACAAAAACATAACAACAGTACGTATGCCATATGTATTCTCATGAAACCATATAGAAATGAAATTCAATGACACCAGCTCACGTAGTTTACGTGCTACTAGACATATGTTGCTGCATTATTCAGGATTTGCAATCAGTTAGAGCTAGAACTTGTTTTACTGCAACAATTAGAACACGAAAACATGATTATTCACAAGAAAGACATATTGCATTTATATATGATACCCTGTGAAGTTTCTACAATCATTCAGCTAATTATGCACAAAGCCAGCAATTATCTCCTTAAAAAGTTTTATCAGCTCATATTTTCATCCCTCAATTGTTTCTTTCGATATCCACATATATATAGCTAATCGAACACAATTGTTCATCTGTCTTGAGAGAGAAAAAAGTATCAAAATGTTGTTCAAACTTATCGTTGGACTTATTGGCCTTCTGATGCATTTTGCAAATGCTGAGGTCTCTAAAGATGGTATGAGATTTTTATCTATAGTTTCTTTTCAGAATATATACAAACTGTACATTTTATTTTGTTTTATTTCTGATTTAAATGAAAAATTGCAGGAAAATGTGATATTTTTAGTGGAAAGTGGATCCGAGATTCTTCACCGCCACGTTACACCAACGCAAGCTGTGAATTCATGTCTCCTCCAAGAAATTGTATCAAGAACGGACGGCCTGATACAGGATATTTATTCTGGAAATGGAAACCATATGATTGTGATTTGAGGCCGCTTGAACCGAAGAAATTTCTGAATTCCATGAGAAATAAGTCTTTTGCTATGATTGGGGACTCACTCCTACTAAACCAAATGCAGTCACTGCTTTGCCTTCTCTCTCAGGTGCGTTATAAGAATTATACTTGCATATCGACTCCCTGTACTTCTATTTTGTACATAGACCCTGAGTGAATTTTTTTTGTCTCTTCTACAATGCATATGAATCTCAGGGGGGAAAATCTATCGATACGTATCATAGTAAAGGGTATCAGCTAAGAAGATGGTACTTTAGCTCCTACAACTTCACTCTTTCGACGTATTGGGCGCCATTTCTTCTCCAAGCTTATTTTAGGTCACACAAAATGCTTGTCCTTCACTTAGACAAGCTCGATACCAGATGGACTACAGATTATCACAGGCACGATTACATTCTAATAGCTCTTGGCCCATGGTTCAGTAAACCAATGATCATAATGGAAAACAATACTATTGTCGGTTGTCATTCTTGCCATGGAAAGCTAAAAGAGCTTGGCACAGTTTACCCTTATCGAAGAGCATTACAAATGGCTTTCAATTTCATTACAGAATCTAATCATAAACCTGTAGTTTTTGTCAGAACATGGTCACCTAGGCATTTTGAACATGGAGAGTGGTTCAATGGAGGGATATGTAACAGGACTGAACCATATAACAAAGGGGAATATAATGGTCCAAAAATAGAACAGACTTACTATGACATCAATATTAAAGAGTTTAATGAGGCAGTTGATGTTGGATATCGAAAAGGGATAAAGATTAAACTCGTTGACGTATTTCATCTTTCGATGTTGAGGCCAGATGGGCATCCGGGTCCTTACATGAAGTTTCATCCATTTGATCATAGAGATAAGAATGCTGGAGTTCAGAATGATTGTACTCATTGGTGTTTGCCTGGGCCTATTGATGCATGGAATGATTTGCTCATGGAGATGTTGATTAATGAAGAGGATATAATCCTGAAGGATGATTCTAGAACTATTGATAGTTGAAAGGGAAGTTGGCATGCCTCTGATTGCAAGTCTTCTAATGAAATAATTGCACGTATGGGCTATCTGACATTTCTCAGTACTTCTGCAGATTATGTTAATCTGATCTCTGTAGCTGTTACATCATAAAAGAATCTTCACAATTTACACTAAAAATGAGCTGATGGCCCTGTTGCATAAAAGTCTCATGCTCTGTTCTCATTGCACGAGGTTCTTCCACTCGGTTAGAACATGTCAATTGCCAAACTATATCTAATATGAATAAAGGCGGCAAAATTACATTTTAAATCTGATGACTGGGGAAGCGTTTTTTGATTCAAAACCAGGCAATGTGTCATTCAGTTTGTATCACATTATCATTTCGTGTGATTCTCCTTGACAGAGTTGTGACACTCAAGCTCAAGTAAATGTAAAGCAGCACTCACAAACTTAAAGTCACGAAATTTGGAGTTAAATAATCTCAATTGTGTTTTGAATTACAGAAGCCTGTGATATCTACATAAATAAACCCTTCCAAGTCATCAACTTGACAGCTTCCACAATCCATCACTGTTGGACATGAATGCCAAAACCAATCACCAAATACATTCGACATTTGTTCACAAAGTCTTCTTGCTCACACTTAAAAGCATTAGGGATTTTATGGTATTGAATCTATTCGCACCAACCGTCGAAAAAGATACGGGACTAGTAGTTTCGTATGTTTTAATCACGGATTAGTGAACTCAAAAAATTTCACAATATATTGAGATGAACTCAGAAAACATACGGGACTACTACGTATGTTTTCTGAGTCACTAATCCGTGATTAAGTTGGCTCTAAACATACGGGACTAGTAGTCTCGTATGTTTTCTGAGTCTTGTTTTTTAAAATCGATCTTTTTTTTCAAAAGAGGTCTATTTTGCTAATTATTTAGCAAAACGGTCTATTTTGCTAAATAATTAGCAAAAACGGACTATTTTGCAAATTTTCCCTATATAAATTTAGGTGTTATATTTCTTTATTCATGCTGTAATTTGAAGTTTTATTTGTGAGTGAAGTATCGTAAACAGGCGTATGAGTTGCGAGGCTGTATGGCTGTAATTTTGTGATGGACAGATGAAGTATTCCCTCCTCCCATTCTCCTTCGAAACTCTCCCTCTCCCCACAAAACGTCCTCAAAACCCTGCAAAGCTGCTCATATCCCTCAACTCCCAACTCTCAAGCCTCACTAACTCCCACCAGCACTCTCGAGCTCTCCTCCTCTCCACCCAAATCCACTCCTCCCCCTTCATCTCCCCCGACCACTTCACTCTCTCCAGCGCCTTCAAATCCTGTGCCCACCTCCGTGCCCACATTCTTGGTTCCCAGCTCCACTCCCTCGCGGTTCGAACAGGCCTTGTATCCTTCTCTCACGTCGCAAACTCTCTCCTCTCCTTCTACTCAAAAACCCATGCGCCTGATGTCGCTCGAAAGCTCTTTGATTCGATAGCATACCCTGATGGTTACTCTTACACCACTATGCTCTCGGCGTATGCCAAGAGCGGTCAGTTTGAGAGAGCTCTTCAACTGTTTGATGAAATGCCTGAAACAAGCACACCGGTTTGGAATGCGATGATAACAGGGTACATTGATCATGGGTATCGAGGTTGTGCTTTTGGGTTTTTTGTTAGAATGAATCGCTTGGGAATTGGGTTCGATCGATATACTTTTGCTAGTGTCTTGAGCATTTGTGATTCGGTGGAGTTTGTGGGTTTCGGGCGCCAGGTTCATTCATTGGTGATAAGAAGCGGGTCTGTAGAGTTAAGTGTTACGGTGGTCAATGCATTGGTGACGATGTATCTTGATTGTGAAGCTGTTGAGGAAGGGGTTAGTGTGTTTCGAGAAGCAAAGATACGTGATGTGATAACTTATAATGGTATGATTGCGGGATTTGTGAGATGGGAAAGAGAAGAGGATGCTCTCTTGGTGTTTAAGGAGTTGATAGGAGAAGCTTGTTTAATACCCACAGAGCTAACCTATGTGAGCATTATGACTGCTTGTGCGTCTAAGGAAATCAGTGAGCAAGTCCATGGTCAAGTAATTAAGGTGGGTCTGGAAGATTCACTATTGGTGTGCAATTCTGCAGTGGCTATGTATTCAGATTCTGCAAATTTGATCAGCGCTAGACGAGTATTTGATATGATTTACGATAAGGATGTTGTATCTTGGAATTCTATGGTATCAGGGTACAGTCAACAAAATTTGCATGAGTCCGCAATCAAACTATATTGCGAAATGTTGAACGAAGGGACTGAACCAGATGAATTCACTTATGGGAGCCTAATAGCGTGTTTACCAGCTGCAAAGCACGCAGAAATGGTCCATGCCATAGTTGTACAAAATGGGTTGATCGCATTCATTGAAGTTTGTAATTCTCTTATATCGACATATGCTAAGTGTGAAGATATGGGGAGTACGCAGCGGATTTTCATTGAGACGTCTTTCAAGAATCTTATCTCTTGGAACTCAATTATTTCCGGATATATGCTGAATGGATTGCCTATGGCAGGCTTGCAGTCTTTTTCTAACCTTCTGAATTCAGGAAATAAGCCAAATTCCTACACACTGAGCACTGTTCTAAGCACTTGTGCAACTATCTCAACTCTGAGATTTGGCGAACAGATACATAGTTATATTCTTAAATCTGGTTCTGATTGTGAAATAGCCTTGGGAAATTCTCTCATTACAATGTATGCAAAATGTGGAGACTTGGATTCATCTTCCAAAGTTTTCAGAGGAATGAGCCAAAGAGATCTGGTTTCTTGGAATGCGATAATTTCTGCCTATTCACAGAATGGCGATGGGCACGAAGTAGTCCATTACTTCAGAGTGCTGCAAAAAGAAGAGATTTTGCTTGACCATGCCACCTTCACCACTGTTCTCTCTGCCTGTAGCCATGCTGGTTTGGTTGAAGAGGGCCATTTAATTTTCTCGTCCATGATCAAAGACTATGACATAGAACCGCAACTGGATCATTATTCATGTATGATTGATCTTTTGAGTCGCGCTGGACATTTAAACGAGGCTGAAAGTTTGATTGGTAGCATGCCATATGGGGCAAATTCTCATATTTGGTGGGCAGTGCTGAGCGCTTGTAGCACTTATGGTAATGCGAGGCTGGGGAGAACGGCAGCTGGATTTCTTTTGGAGATGGAACCAGAGAATACAGCAGTTTATGTTCTTTTATCAAACATAAATGCAGCTCAGGGAAATTGGGAAGAAGCAAGTAGCATAAGAGAACAAATGAGAAATAAAGGTGTTGTGAAAAAGCCTGGATACAGTTGGATTTGAATCAGAGAATAATTTCACTGTAAGTTTAGTAAGAAGCACGCCCTGTAGCTGTTTAAATTGATTGATAACTTATGCTGTTACCTTGTAACTCCAGTATGATGTTATCTCTTCTATTCTTCGAGTATATACTATTAACTTCTTCTTCTTCTTTTTCCTTAATTGCGATGGTAGTTAGTGTTAGGAAAGGCAGCTATGAGCAATTAAAGAAAATATAACTTCTTATACTCGGATGAAATTATTAAATTTACCAGATAATTTCTCTACGATTAGGAAGTATCTGAAAGAGTCTAGAGCGTGTGACCTGATGCAATGATCATGTAATGTTGGAGAAAGAGCGGAATAGCGGGGAAAACGCCTATAACAACCTAAGACGGTAAGCAACAAGTTCGTACATTTATAAAGTTTGACGCAGCTACATGTTCTGTCTCATTTGTTTAGTGATTCTGGGTACTAACATGCTGCTTCATTTAGCAACTAGCAGAGAGCAATCATACAGCCAATTCTGATGGGGCAGCTTGCAAATTGATCCGAGTTAAGTGAGCAGTTGATTGAATAGACACCCAGGTAATATTAATTTAGTTTGATTTTAATTCTGCAAGGAGTTCTATATGTATCAAGGTTTAACAATTAAGTTACCAAGATTTTTGTGTACTTGTTCCGAAACCTAGCCTTCTGATGTTCTTCTTTTTTTATGAAAACCAACAAGGAACAATTGCTTTATCTCTTATTAATACTACATATTTGTTGTTCCAAGAAAAGAGATGTTTTTCAATATACCAACAACAATCAGGTTGAAAAACAAGTAACCTTTCTTTCTTTAACCTTTTAATTAATTCATAAGCGAACACTTCCTCCAAGGTTAATTAATCTATCAAAATGGGTTTTCTTTCAACCCCTTAAAGGCTAATGGTACAAAGTTGCAGACTTCCATAGTTTCCAAGTTAATATCCTTCCTTCGGCTTTGATCCAATAGAATGACGCTTTTACTCAACTACAGGTTTTTTTTTTGTTAGATAAATAACTTTTACCCTCTTCGTCTCTTTAAAGCGTCGGCGAAATAGCCTACCAGCCCACCATGTTTGAAGCTAAGAATAGCAAAAAACAATGACAGCACAGCATATAGAAACAGCTTTTAGTTTACTCTTTTGAGAGAATGGCATTTCTTGAGCTACTCAAATTCACCTATCATGTTGTTCCTCACCAACTTGAGTTTACCTAGGATAAGGGCCCGTTTGGTTGCTGAAGAGGGCTTTTTTAGGGGCGTTTTTGCAAGAAAACCTGCCAAAACTGATAGTTTTTGTCAGTTTTGGCAGGCTTTCTGCCCATTTCAACGCCTCTTTAACGCAATCAAACGCACCCTAACCCACAGTGAAAAAGCACTTCACAAAGTCCAAAGCCAAACTTGTATGAGGCCCAACGAGAATTCATCATTATTTAACAGCCAATCATGCTCACCTCTCTTCCTCTTTTATTGATTCCTTGTGCATTATACAAACAACATCATGTGTCCCACTTTGCAAGTTGCAACCGTCTGCTTACGACTCTGTTCCTCCGATGACAGCCCAAAGCAGCCTGGACTCCCCCATCCTGTCACCAATACATCATGTGATTCTCAGTGTAGCCATAATTTAGATCAGCCTCATTGTCTTAATTCAAATTTGACTGTAGAGCGGCTTAGTTGTGATTCTTCTCCACAGTTAATGTCAGTAGTTGTGGGCATAGCCTGCGGTTTCTAGGTATGATAACAGCAAGCTGCATTTTAATAATTGCTGAAGAATCTTTTTTTGTTAGTCTCTTGTTGATGTTGTTTGTTTTCTTTTCTCTTTTTGCGTCTGCATACTTTTGTATCTTTTGGGATGTTTCATTAAACTCTTTATTAATGGAACGATGGGGCCGGGGTGTGTGTTCGCCACTGACTTTTCTCGACGATGATAATAATAATAATCATTATTGTTACTGCTGAAGAATCAGTTTTTAGATCTACAAATTGTGTTATTTTCTCTCTGGCCATCACGTGGATTAGCTGTCAGATGTGTATTGGACTTCTGGACTGAACCAGATCTACAGTGTGAAACGTTGCATTATTTATGATGGCTCAGACAGAATGAGTGAGCAGTTTCAAAGCTCGGAGGCCATTCATAAAAAAAAAAAAAAACTCAAATCTTTGAACTCGGAAGTCTAAACAGGCTCCTGGCCCCCTCGATGTCCTCCATCAATATGAGGTTATGGCTCTCTTCATGGCTGTTATTGATGTTCTTTGGAGGATCACTGATCACCTCCAATGCAGCACCAAGCTCTTTCTCCTTCGAGGATAACTTCGACATAATGTGGGCAGAAGACCACTTCAAAACTTCTGATGATGGTCAAGTCTGGCACCTCTCTCTCGACAAAGAAACGGGTACACGTCGAAATTTCTTCAGAAAACATGGATATCTCATGATCTCATTGTATCGTTTCAATAAAACTCAACTCTAATCACCTGTTCCATTGTAGGATGTGGTTTCCAAACAAAACAGCGGTATAGATTCGGGTGGTTCAGCATGAAGCTGAAGCTCGTCAGTGGCGACTCTGCAGGTGTTGTCACGGCTTATTACGTAAGTGGTCAATACTAATTAATCCAAAATGGTATTTGTCGGGCGAGAAACACAATAGAAGTAAGAATTGTGTGATCCTAACGTATGTCTACGAATGGATCCGATGAATTCAGATGTGCTCGGACTTGGATGCTGCACCGAAGAGAGACGAGCTCGACTTTGAGTTCTTGGGCAACAGGACAGGGGAGCCATACACAATCCAGACAAATGTTTATAAGAGTGGTGTCGGTAATAGAGAGATGAGGCACATGCTTTGGTTTGATCCAACTTCAGACTTTCATACTTATTCCCTCCTCTGGAATAGCCACCAAATAGTGTGAGTACAATCCTTTCCCAGTTTTTGAAGTTGCTTTTTATATCCAGATGAAATAGAAATAGGGCTAATTAATCGCACATAGACACCCTGTAGTATCTCTGCTTTGAACTTACTACCCTTGCTTCTTCGTTTTGGCATTATATATATAGACCCCTTCGGTGAATTTTTTTGACTCAATATGTGCCCAAAATTTTCACTCGGTAAAAAAGTCAAAACAATAATAAAGAAGAAGAAGAAGAAGGAGGAAAAAAACCAGAGGTCTATCTTCTAAAATATAACTACAGGGGTAATAAGCATGTAGGAATTAGGAGGTTGGATGAAATAAATTGGCATTATCAAATAATACGCGAGCTAGAAAAGGTGGGTAGCTATTTATTATTGGTCTGTGGGTGTCACGTGACTAACACGGCACACTGCGTGGTACAACCTCTAACAGTTAATGTGATACAAAACATTAAATAAAAAGTAGAGTCCCAAAGAAGGAAACCCACCGAAAGGGAAACTATACGGTGGGTGTTGTCTCTGCGGAGTTGCCTGTCCTCCAATGCAAATTGAGGGGTTTGAAAATGGGTGCATTGATTCAAGCATTAGTCCCCGCCTACTTGTGAATGATATATATGGCTTTAGGGTCTGTTTGGTTGATGTTTTTTGGCCTCGGGTGTTGGGCAGAAAGTCTGCCAAAACTGCTCTTTTGTCAGGTTTTCTGTCCAACACCCGAGACCAAAAACATCAACCAAACGGACCCTAAGGGAAATGCAGAGAAATTCAATGAGGTGATTATTTAGGCTATGCAATAACATGTAATGGTGAACTTAAATTTACTAGATTTCATATAAATAAAGATGGGGGAATGCCAATGGGTATGGGTTACCCATATCCCAATTATCACTGGTTTTTAATAATCAAACTCATTAGATACCATTAACGTTAACCATCATGGTTATTGTGAAAATTGACTTAACAGGAGGTGAGTGGAGTCTACGGATAGAAAATGACTCAAAAATTTTACCAACAGTTATTCTTTTACCAATGCAAACTCGTAACAAGTTGATCGCAAATTTTACCGCAGGTTTTTCGTAGACAGAGTCCCGATCAGAATATACAAAAACAACGGCAGACCAAACGACTTCTTCCCCGACGAAAAACCCATGTACGTGTTCTCTAGCCACTAGAGGAGGTCTCGAGAAGACAGACTGGAAGAAAGCTCCCTTTGTCTCCAGCTACAAAGATTTCAATGCCGATGCTTGCCAGTGGAAAGATCCTTACCCTGCTTGTGTTTCTACTACAACCGAGAACTGGTGGGATCAGTATGATGCTTGGAATCTTTCAGATTCTCAGGAGGAGGATTTTAGCTGGGTTGAGAGGAATTTGGTCATTTACGATTATTGCAAGGATACTGAGAGGTTTCCTACTTTGCCCGAGGAATGTGCGCTTAGAGCGTAGATTTTCGTCGTAGATGTTGAGATGGGGATGGAGAGAGAAGGAGAAACGTTTTGTAAAAAAATTCGGCTGTCATGTATTGTTCCGTAAAATTCTTGATTATTTGTTTATGGCATTGAGTTTTTGTCTCCGATTTTTTTGTCAGGCTTTATGTTGATTCGACAGAAAGGTTTTGAGTCCATTTTACCAGTTCATCTAGAGCTTCGAAGATCGAAGAGACCGTGGAGAGCTAACACTTCTTTTGCGAAGCGAAGAAGACTAGATTCGGGTTTTCCTGAAGAACTCTTTGATTTCCCCAAAACTGTAAGAAGGAATACGAAAACCTCAGAGCTGTGACGAGAAGTACCCGACCCAGTAGAACAAATTAGCACGCAGAGGGCGATAAATTGAGAGCAAGGGCAGGGGAAGCTTGTCCTGTATGATGCAACACTTTCTCCAAGTTCAATGGTAAAATACACATTGCAATATTTTGTTCTTCCCGATCCTTAAATTACTTATTTAAAATGGACACTGACTAGTATTCTTATTCTCCCTAGCTATACAGTTTTTCTCTCTTCCCGCGGATAAAACCAGCCAATATACAAACAGCCAACATACCAACGCACCGAAGCTCAATACAGCCATCTCCCCCAGCGTTTTCTTCCTTCTGAAGAAAAACATCACATCGCAAACTACCACACCAAGAGTTACAAGCATCAACAATCGTAGCAGAGACCTGTCAACTGCCACCACAGATTCTAAGGCACTAATGGAACTTTTCAACATAAACATGCTCAGGAAATCACAACCCAGAATGAAAGACAAGTTTTCATTTATAATAGAGTGCCAGCCAAGTCTAAAGACACGAGCCATATATGCTCCAATACAACCACACAAGGTACAAGTTCAAGCATGAAATAGTAAAGCAACTATAAAAAAAAGCTAAGTAGATAAAACGCAGTCTTCAAGTACTAATCAATCGATGAGAGAGGCTTCTCAAAAACCATGGATTTTGATGTGCTCCTTCTTCACAATGCCCGCCTGCACAACAAATGGAACCAAAGTTTCAGCACCCAATGGGAACCAAAAGCATCAGGAGCCAAACAGCTCAACGTGGAAAACTAGGTACCTGAACAAGGAAAGTAGAAACATTCTTCCTCTGATCACCCTGGAGTTGAATAACCTGAAGGACATAACAAAGGTTAATGAACAAAACATATACACAAAACATACAATAACAGACAACACGCATTTTAAAAACAAAACTGAAAACAAAATTTCAGCACAATATGACGACCCCAATCCAAGAAATTAACTGGACTACGATACACCATCAAATCTATTCCGATGTTAGATGTACCAGTGTGAAGGACATTTTGTACTCCGCTCTCCCTTAACACAGAATAATTTCCTAAGCCACAAAGGCAAAAACGATTGCTACAAATAAGGTTTTAGATGGTTTTTATAGCTTAAAGCATACCTGTCCAAGTTCTGGATCCTGGACTACAGTACCATTACAGCAGAACTCCTTCTTGAGATCCTTGAGGATCTTGCTGTAGCTAAAATCTTTCTTCAATCCTTGCACAGTAGTCAGACTCTTTCTGCCGTTGCGCTGCTGAATGCGCACATGCACATAATCCTTTTTTCCAGCACCAGAGTCTTCAGCATTTGCCTCAGCAAAAGGATCTTAAAAAATGAAGAAGTTCATTCAATATTCTAGATACATTCACAAGTCTAGCCAAAGAGCTAATACTATGCCAGTTTCTGTACATACCGAAAGCAGTGGGAATCTGAACGTCGAGATCAGACATGAACTCTTGAGTGTTGATGATGGAAACGACCTTTCGGCTAGCTTGATTTGTCCTTCGTAGTCTTTGTTATGCCCAAAGCTGATATAATGAAACAAAGGATGAGAAAAGGTACAACTCAAGGTTGACATCTTCCAAAGCATAGAAAAGACAGAGGAGAAAAGTTCAAAGACAACATATTTCAGAAGAACTTTCAGTCATCAACATCCAAATATAAATTTAATATAAATTGAGGAAGCATGATAAGGCATGCCGGAGGACTGCTCATCCATTATTAACAGATAAAAACTCAACTAGCTATCAAGTAAACCAGAAAAAAAAATCATGAGTACAAGAGGCAACATTCAATAGTAAGCACCTCAAATCATATCATAAATCACACAGATGGAAGAAAAGGACTAAGTTAAAAATGTCTCATGCATCACTAGCACTCAATATCTTGCGCATCATTTCATATCAATTTTCCACAGATAAAAGGACTTAGTTAAAAATGTCTCATGCATCACTAGCACTCAATATCTTACGCATCATTTCATATCAATTTTCCACAGATAACCATGAATCCAAATACTTGCACCAAAGGATAAATTAAGGGCAATTTATACTATCACAATAAGCTTTCAGTATTTTGCATTGAACCCCTACGAACTTTCAAAATTTAACTTCGCAAAAAAAAACCCAATATCTTTTGGCTAAATTATACTAAACACCCAATAACATTCAAAATGCCTTTTTATGTTGTTTTGTGGTTCTAATCTATGGGGGTTATCTCCAAAATGCGGAAAGCTAATTGGGGGTTTTCTGCAACACTGAAAAGTTATTGGGGGGTTTTAGTACAATTCTGAAAGTTCATAGGGTTTACTGCAAAACACTGGAAGTTCACAAGGGTTTGGTGTAATTTACCCTATAATTTTATGAGCAACTTTCCCCTAAAAGATTCGTCTTGCATCTAGTTATCCCGTCTCCTATGATTTAACCAACAAAATAAAGCTACTATATTCACAATGGGAAAAACTCAAATAGAAATTACTATTGCAAACATCTTGAGAGGATTATATATTATGGTCATATCATTATATAGTTAGTAAAACCAGCACCATGCCCTGCAAAAACAAAATTATAGATGAAAGTGCAATTTCCACACCAAAATTACCCGCTGCAATAAGATACTATCTATTCGCCAAGAGGATCTAGCTGAGTTAGTATGCTGCCTATTGAGTAATATTTACAACACCCGAGGATATGTGTCGGGGTTTGATTGATAATAAATTTTAGGGTGTGGAAGTTCAATACACATGGTCCGAAGGAACGTGTGCAAGTTCCCTCGCCTATCCAAAAAAAATAGATATGATCTATTTTCTACGCCCAACCAATTTCCCCAAATTAGATAATAAATTTCTTTCAATTTTATTACAGATGAAAAGAGGGCAATAATCTTAACCTCAAACGATTCCCCAGATGTCGAGGAGCAGCACCTAATCCGCGTAACTCGGACTAAACCAAAATATCTGACCAGATCTACTAAAACCCCCCTTAAATATCATAAAAAGAACAGATTTTTCTACCATAAATAACCCAGATCCACAAATAGATCAACCACGAAAACAAAAAGATCGTAGCTTTATATTAATTAGCTGAGAAATAAAACAGTCTTTTTTTACCTTTGAGAGCCTCGAGATCAGGAACCCTAGCGCGAGATTTCACTAGAAGGGGAAAGCTAATGAACTACCAAGGGATTTCTTTGCTGTGCATTTATAGAGAGAAGAGGGCGGTGACCTTATCCCACGCGGTATTCTGTTCCGCGGCTTCCCTTTTCTTTCGCTGCACGTCTCTCTTTTCCGAATCGGTTTCGAAGTATCCGACCCGGTTTTACGTCGGTAAGGGTTTGGTGAGAACAAATACTCAATTACTAGAAAAATACCCTCAATTTTCCTGACAAAGAGCAGTTTTTTGGTTAAAGTAACAAATTTATTTACGCTTGCTGTTAAATTTTAACTGAGCAGAGATTAATTGCATCTAAGAGCTAGGTAGATTTTAAACATAAGCGGAAAGCGACTGAACCTAATAAGAGTTTAAGATGCTGTATATTTATCTTAAATCTTTACGATCTAGAATTAGGGGCTGATTGGTTCGTTTTTTAACTAGGTGGAAAAGTTTTACACCACCTTCACATCAGTTTTTTTGTGGTCACGTAGAATATAAGCTTTCCGTCGATTTTTTTTTTCTCATCTTTGGTTCGCTAGGGTTGAAGAAGGAAAACTCGATGAAAATCGTCGTCACATCAGATTTTTTTCTCTTCCCCAATTCCTTCCTCAACCTCATGAAATCGACGAAAACTGCAGCCACATCAGTTTTTTGTCATATAAACAAAAGTTTTTCCTTTTTTTCCATGCGAACCAAACACAAGAAAAATAAATACATTGGTTTCCTATCATTTTTTTTTTGTGTGAATCAAAGCAAAACAATCTATTTCTTAGAAAAGTTTAAAAAACTCAAAACTTGTGTTTTTGTATATGAAAATGCATTTCTATATCTATGAAACGAACCAAACAGCCCCTTCCTTAATATTCATGAATTTCCAAAAAGTAAAATATTGTTAGGAAACTGTTAAATCATGTTAACGGGTTGCGTTACCGGGTTATCGGATTCCGTATCCGCTCCCGCTTAATATCTTTCCGGAGCGCTCTCTTGTCAGCGATTGACGCGTGACGGTGACATCAACGGCTGGGATTGCTCCATCGGGCGTTTTCGAGGATACGGAGGACGAGCACGTAGTGGCCCTCTCGACGGCGG